AAGTTATGGTCAAACCCATATTTCACGTGTTTTTACTAACTCCATTAACTAATAATCTTATCAATCGGGACTCTATTAAATTTTTACTGTAGACCGTTAGCTCGTTTCTTATCTATATTCATGAGTAGACAAATGGTAGATAACTATGGTCATTGTTAAGTTTATATCCATTCCATTTAGAGGTGAGGTGAAAACAAATTTTTTTATTTTAAACTTTTATACTAAAGCTTATATTGAGAGTTGACTAAAAAAAAAAAAATTAGTTTATTATTTACAAATAAACTTTAAAAAAGTTAATGCTAAAAAAATAATGTATTTATAACTTTTCAAATTATTCTAATAATTTTAGAAACGGTCAAAGTAATTATTTTAGAAGAAAAAAGAAAAAGGCTCAATGTTTTAATAATTAAATTTTTTAGTCCCTAAATTGACAACAACTTTAGTATTTAAAGGTCGGTAAATGTGAAAGTTGAATTTCTATTACAAGACTGAAAACTTATATCACCTTCCCACCTCATCATGAAACTCTTGTCAGGTTCCTACTTAACTTTTTAGATTCCACCACCACTCAAAATCACTGAGGATTTTAGACTGAAATTTTCTTAAAGTTTTTTAGAGTGTTACATTGTGTAGTTGAGATTTACTGACAAGTCACATTAGTTGAGATTTACTGGCAAATCACATCAGAAAAATTGATGTGACTTGCCAATAAATCTCAATCACACAATGTAACACTCTAAGAAACTTTAAGAAAAAATCACTTTAAAGGATCCTTGCTCACTCAAAATCGTTTGGTTTGGCAACTTAGTTAATAGTAGTTTTTTTTTTTGTTGTAATTTTTTAATTATTTTTAGTTATATTATTTTTTTATTGTTTTATATTTTTTTATAAAAAATTTTAAAAAATTAAAAAAATTAATTTTTAACATATTTCCCAAAATAAGCCATTGTTTTGTTTCACTCATTACTATTCATGCCCGCTTTATGCTAACAGATAACTTCAACAAAGCTGCCATTTGGCATGTATTTTTTTAGTTAGTTTTTTAATTTTTTTTGATTATTTTAGTTTTGGTTAAAAAGTTTGTTTACATTGATTTTTTTTAAAATTTTTTATGAGAGAATAAAATAAAATAATTATAATTTAAATATGGCATTTTGTTTTATTAATTTTTTTAACCTATTTTATTTTTTTGACTAATTTAGTAAAAAAAAACACATGCCAAACAAAGCCAAAGTATGACTAATTATTCAATTAATTATTTTTAGTATCATTTCATTTTTTTAATGCAATATTTTCATCTAATTACATAATAAAAAGTTTTGCTTGTGAAATAATGTTGATTTTGTTAGGAAGTTGAAAAAAATACCAACCATCAGTTTTACAATTTTTCATTTATCGAGTTATGTAGGAATTATAAAAGTGTTAGAGATTTATAATTATAAAATCATAAAGGGAAATGCCTGAGGCCTCGAATCTGAGGCCTCGAATTTGCCTCGAATCCCATTTTTTTTTTTTTTTTTTTCTTTTAAGACAGTGGTTTTAACTTAAGACACTTTAGTTTGGTATTTTTTTTTTCTTTTCTTTTTGCAAGGATAGTTTATGTATATGGATGTGCTAAAAAATTAGATATTTTGCAAGTGAGTTGGGTTGACTGATTGAATGATAAAATTGATTGATAAATTTTTTTATTTTATTTTATTTTATTTATTGGGTTGTGTTATTTTTTTTTATTTTTTTTAAAGGTAGTCATATGTAGGGGTGTGCCAAAAAATTAGACATCCCGCACCAACTCATCATACAAAATTATATTAAATTAATAAATTTTAACCAGCAGTATCAATCAATTAGGTTGGACTGGTTGAGTGATAAAATTGACTGATCTAAAATTAACTGATCAATTTATTAATTTTATATATTTTTGTACGATGAACTGGTACGAAATATTTAATTTTTTTGGTATATCTCTACATATAACCACCCTAAAAAAATAAAATAAACAAAAAAAATAACACACAAAGTCGAAAAAAGAAAAAAGAAAAAAAAAAAAAAAAAAAAAAAAATTTTACAATTTTTCATTTATCGAGTTATGTAGGAATTATAAAAGTGGTAGAGATTTATAATTATAAAATCATAAATTCATTAACAATGATGTGTCAAGATAATTGAGCCCTATATTATTAGATGTGTAACAAATTAAAAGTTGACATCTATAATAATACATTATCTATCTATTTATCTTATTCTATACTATTATTAAATAAAAGTCTCAATTGGTGTGGTGAAATCATTGCCCTCCTCGGTCACATGGCAGTGTTTTTTTATTAAAAAAAGAAGAAGAAAAGGTTAACAAAGAGATGGGAATTAGTGTAGGATGACTCATGCCACTTAAACTAAGTACATATCATAATATTAATTTTATTATTATTTTCTTTTATTCTTACTTATTTGAATTGCGGAGTCTCAAATATTTTCCTTAGGGACTAGTTAATAATTTATGACAAAACGCATATAATTGGACAAAGTATACTGGTAGTTCTTTTACTTTAACCCTCGTGTTATTTTAGTTCTTATAATTTCAATTGACTTGATTTTGACCCTGAATTTTTATGATTTTATCTAATTTAGTTCATTTGATTATAATTTTTAATTTTTTTTTATAATGAAAATTTTATACATAAACGACATGTGTCATATTTTTATAGACAAAATTATAAATTTGTTAAATTTAGTGAGTCAACCTTAACCAACTTAGTAACTATTTTACTTAAAAAAATCCTAATCAACATTATCAATTAAACCAAATTAATACAAAAATTAAAATTAAAATTTAAAATTTAACTAATTAAAATGATAAGGATGAGAATAACACAAAAAGACCTAATATAAAGACTACTACGGATATAATATAACTTACCCTATATATTTAGAAAACTGATGAAAATCAAATCGTACTAAGCCCATCAGGTTTAAAAATGACTTCACCCACTCAACGTAGCACTAGTGTTCCCATACAAACCACTGTAAATAATACATATCCTCAACTCTTCATATTTCTCATTAACTACTAAGCAACCCAATAGGCTTTAGCATATACCCAAACTGGAAAATAATAATAATAATAATAATAATAATAATAAAACATAGTACCACCCACATGGTGGAATTACTCCACACAAAAAAAATATATATATACATATATATACTGATATTTAGTAAAAATCCTTCCTTTGGACCTTTGTTTGGTGAAAAGTACAGTCTAATTTATTTTTCTTCATAAATTCCTTAAGGAGAAAACACATAATTGAGTAAGGACAAAATAAAATAATTTTTTTTCTTGAACAATATTGCCAGAGTAATATGTTACTGTCAAATACAGAAACATGTTACTGTTACTGTTTACATCAATTTTAACGGTAATAATTTTTTTTTAAAAAGAATTTCACAGTCAACATAAATCTTATTTAATAGATCTTGATAGGAGAATTTTAAAAATATTAATTTTATTAAAAATTGATATGTACATCAAAAGTTATATTATTTTAAAATTTAATATTTTAATAATAATGATATTTGTTGGATGTTTTAAGAATTTTTTTTTTAAATATGCCCTTAATACATTAAAATTAGGAAAGAGTTTTTACCAAATTCCAAAATAATACTACCAAAAAAAAAGCTAGTACCACTCACATGGTGGAATTACATTTTATTTATTTATTTTTTAAATTCCGTACCACTGTACGGAATTTGATGTTACCTTCCCCTATTTATAGTTTATCTTTTTCCTTATAGCATTTTTAATTCAGTATTAGATGTCTCATCAAATTTAAATTTGGTGAAAAAGTTTCATTTTGGCACTCTAATCTTTTCATCAAATTCATATTAAGTAGAAGAAAAACCAAAACTTTTATTAAATGAAGGGAGCCTTTCATCTTTTATCAAATTTAAATTATTACTATTGAGCCGGACATTCTCCCAGATGTTCACCCAAGAGCAATTTCGATAGTTTTTTTTATTCATATTAGGACGACCTTTAGGACGTTTGCTCGGATGTCTTGTCAGACAATCGAAAATGTGAAAAAATTTAATAAAAATTCTAACTTTAACATTGGATTGAACAACATCAAATCAAATTTTTTATCAAATTTGATGAAAATTTTAATTCAACGTTAGAGATGGACTTAGAGACTAGTTAATAATTTTTGACAAAAAGATATATAATTGAGCAAATTAAACTAATAGTCCTTTTAATTTAACTCATATGTCATTTTAGTTTTCATAATTTCAATTGGTTTAATTTTAATTATGAATTTATGATTTTATCTCAATTTAACATTAATTATAATTTGTAGTATTTTTTTAATGAAAAATTCACATATAAGCGCCATATGTCATGTTTTTATAGACAAAATTATAAATTTGTTCAATGCAGTAGGTTAATCTCTACCAACTCAGTAACCATTTATTTATTTAAAAAAAAAAAAAAACTCTAATTAGTGTTACTAGTTAGATCTAATTTACATAAAAAAATCTAAAATTAATGATTAAAATCAAATTAATTATAATGATTTGGACAAAAATAACATAAGGAGCAAAATAGAAGAATTACCGTGGTAATTTGTCCTATATAATTAGAAAACTCATGAGAACTGAGCGTGAAGCTCATGTTTAATATACATAAAGGACTTCACCCACTAAACATAGCAGCAGTGTTGTTAAGTTCAATCTCGACGAAACGCAAATGATGAAGCTTCTTTCGTGGACTGTCGGCATAGGAGATTTTTAGTGGGTCTCTGTTGGGCAAGCTTTTTGGTTGATAAAATCCATGAATCCGCAACTCATTAATTTGTTATGTTGGAGATTTCTGTGGTCATCGTTTAATCTGGTTAGGAGTCTTCTTCTATAAGTCCTTTCTTGGTGTTTGGAGGAACAGCTTTAGATTCGTGCAATTCAATTTTTGTGGCTGTTGTGGGCCTTTATGCTTGGTTCTTTCATTGTTTTTATTTTTTTATCTCTCGGTTTGTTGCTTTTAATTGTTTTTTGGAGCTTTATTTTTGGTATTTTGGATGGTTCTCATTTTTTTTTTTTATATAATGTTTTAGGGGGGTGTTTGGGTGTTGATGGGTTGGGTGTCTTTTATTAGTTGTTTATTTGTCTTGCTTTGGTGGGTTGTTTATTGGTTCCTCTACAAAATTTTCACTTTTTTATTTTTGTATAATATTTAATTTCATTAATATATTAAAATATCCTCCTCAACTCTTCATATTTCTCATTACCTATTGCCTATAGGAACCCAATCAGCTTCAGAATATACCGACATCGAAGAAAATAAAAAAATAAAAAATAAAACAACCAAGTAGTACATGTACCACCCAACATGGTGGAATAATCTTTTATTTATATTACTTTCCACTATTTATAGCTTTGTCTTTTTAATTGATGGGACGGGTTAAGTATAACTCCATAAGCTTCCTCCATCAGAATTCTCCGGTAAGTCATCATCAGACGGGGGCGGCTTCATCATCCTCGGCGGGCTCATCAGCATTCCCTTCGCCATGTCCACCAGCAAATTCGGCATGTCAAAAATCTCCTCATCGTCCATAAAAAAAGCTTGCCCGGAATCCGTACGAGTTTGACACGTGTTCTCAACCGGCCCGCTCTGCCTCGGTAGTCTGGCTGCTGCAGCCGCCGCCGCCGCCGCCGCCGCACGCACATCAATCGCCGACGAAGAAGCCGCCACGGGATACGAAAGAAGAGATTTTGGGAAGTTGAGCGGGGAGTTGGGGCCTTTCAGAGCCAGCGCCGCTGCATCGTAAGCCGCCGCAGCCATTTCCGGAGTTGGGTACGTCCCAAGCCATACGCGCGTGGTCTTTCGTGGTTCGCGTATTTCGGATACCCATTTCCCGCTCCGGCACCGAATTCCTCGAAAATTCGGATGCTTGCTGGAGGTTGCGCCGCCTCTTGACCGTGAAGCAATGGTTGCTGTGAAGGGGGGTTGGGGTGATTTTGGTGATGGGTCTTCAGTAGTGGTGGTTCTTAATGGAGAGTTGTTGGGTTGTTGTTGGAGCTGTGTGAGAAGAGTCAATGATGAATTGGGTGGTTGGTAATTTTGGCGCACGTTAGCATCAGGATTAGCCATGCAATGAAAAGATAAAAAAATACATAGGTTCCATTCCCAAAATAATCACAATTCTAGGTTGAGTATTTGATCTTAAAATGGTGTTTAATGTTTGGCTTTTTAATGCCAATGCTTTCTTGGTGGGCTCCTTGGGCTTATACTGATATTGGAGAAGTTATTCATGGGTCCCGGGCACAGTTATGTGGGGGGAGTTTTTAACTGTGTTTTGATTAGTGTTTTGTTTTGTTTTGTTTTGTTTTTTCTTTTTTTGGGTATATCAGAAAATAATAAGCGTGTTTTGATTAGGAAAAGAAATGAAATTTATGATTTTATTTTGAACAATTATAAAAATATAAGAAAGTATAAAAATTTATAATTAGTTTAAGATATGATTACGTAGTGGCATAGAATTAACTAATAATTTTTCGTGTTATTTATTTTTTATTGTTATTAATTTTCTTCTTTTCTTTTTTGATAGTGATGAATGCGTAGGAAATGATTGGGACTGGACCGACGTGATTGGGACCAATGGTTAAGGCGCTAGCATGGTAATTAGCTGTTATCCACTCTCGTTAGCTCATGATTTTTCATAGTATTTCTTATTAAAAATACATTGCTATTTTATTTTTGTAAATTTAATTATGTGATAGTTAACTAGAATATTTAAGATATTTTTTTGTTCCTATCTTATTTGATTATTAGTTAGTCATTTCATTTATACCTGGGTTTAAAAGTTTACTTGTATATTATTTTTTTTTAATTAAAAATCCATACTCTTGGTTTTGTATATATTTGTTTTTTTAAGGAGGATTTCATATAGATTGGATCACATTGTTTGAATATGTAAAGTTCACTATAAATTCTATTTCGATAATCTAAATAATTTATTTTGTTATGTATTTTGTATATTTCATTCAAAAAAATAAATAAATATGTCTATCCAATAATTAAAACATATTCAGTTTATTGCATTTGTCACCAAAAAATGGACAATAATTGTATTTTTATGAATAAACCATTTATTTTTTTGGTGATAAACAAGATAGATAAATTGAAAAAGTTACGATTATCAAATAGACTTAATTATTTTTATGAATGAGTACACGAAATACTTGATAAAATGATTTGTCCGAATTATTAGAATGAGACCAATAATTGGTCCTATGGGTCTAAATAACACACTTCAATCCAAATTATAAACAGAAGGTAATCTGCCTTTTTTTTTTTATTTTCTAAAAAAATTACCATTAAATGGTAATTTTCAAAAATTAGTACACTGAATTTTTTTTAAATTTTTATTATTAATTTTTTTTTGCTTTTTGGTAAAAAGAAATTGAAAAATATTGGTGATAAATTCAATATAAGGAAGGTATAAGGCAATAGATCCAATGAATATTTTTTATTAGTGAGAGATTCACCATTTGTGAAATAGTTTGGTGAAAAATCATTTTGTTTATTTTGAAGAACATTTTTTTTTTCAATTTTACCCCTTAATTTATCTGTTGACTTTCATTGATTATCTATTCAATTTTTTTTACTATCTGTTAAAATTTATTTCTTATATGTTCAAAATTTATCCCTATATGTTCAATTTTTTTTCTTCTATTTGTTCAATTTTTTTCCTATATATTCAATTTTTTAATCTTTTTAATTCAAATTTTCTTATTTGTTTAATTTTTTTGACTATTTGTTCAATGTTTTTCCTTTATCTGTTAAAATTATTTGCTCAAAAAATCTATCTGTTGCAATTCTTATATGTTGAAATTCTGCTTGTTCAAACTATTGTTTTCAAAAAATCTATTTGTTGAATTTTTTTTGTTGAAAAATCTATTTGTTGCAATATATCTGTTCAAATTCTCTCTATCTTTTTCCACTATCTGTACAAATAAAACTTCAAATTCAACATCAATAACGAAGCTATCTGTTGAAAATCTATTTATAGTGTTGAAAATCTATCCGTTCAAATTCATCAACAACAAACAAACAAACAAAATTATTTGTACAACAAAATTTCTATCTATTCAACAACAATAACAAAAAAGAATCTAGGAATGACAGAGAGAGAAATGAAGAAAATTGTACCAAAAACACAAATTTGAACCTCTTTACCTAAACAAAGATTCAACAATATTTTTAATAATCCAAACAACAATCTAGATTTGAGGTCACAATGAAACTGAGACCTTTGGACTAAAAATATTACTCGTATTCAATAGAGTTGCATTCAACAACATATACAATTCGTCAAAGCATAGATTTCAACTGAGACCTTATATAGAAGTCGCTGCCGCCGGAGGCGAGGCCAAAGAAGGCGGATGCGATGGATAAGTTGAGATAGATCAGAGAAACCATAGGTTTCGGAGCTCTAAGATCTATCATGCGTCTACGTTGGAGTCGTGCATAGAGGTCACCTCACGAACCTTAATAAACCCTAACGTTTTGAACAACATAAACAGGAACAACAACCACCGCTGTTGAATCAACGATGATGACAACGAATCAAAAGGCAAAGAAGGTAGAGACAGATCGTAAAAGTGATTGTGGTGGGAGACTAAGCGGAGCGACGACGACCTAGGGTTTCTATCCTAGTTTTTCATATTAGAAATTGGTCATGGTATAGATAGTAAAGATGATGTTAAGGAACTGGAGAAGAAGTTTCTAGATTGGAGGAGATCGGAGATGATGGTGGTGGTGGTGATAGTGGCAACGACGGCACAACAAAGTCGATGAATAGGTTTCGGAGCTCTAAGATCTATCATGCGTCTACGTTGGAGTCGTGCATAGAGGTCACCTCACGAACCTTAATAAACCCTAACGTTTTGAACAACATAAACAGGAACAACAACCACCGCTGTTGAATCAACGATGACGACAACGAATCAAAAGGCAAAGAAGGTAGAGACAGATCGTAAAAGTGACTGTGGTGGGAGACTAAGCGGAGCGACGACGACCTAGGGTTTCTATCCTAGTTTTTCATATTAGAAATTGGTCATGGTATAGATGGTAAAGATGATGTTAAGGAACTGGAGAAGAAGTTTCTAGATTGGAGGAGATCGGAGATGATGGTGGTGGTGGTGATAGTGGCAACGACAGCACAACAAAGTCGATGAATCGATAGTAAAGAGCTGAGGCGAAGGAGAGAGAGAGAGAGAGAGAGTTAGTTGTTTAGGGTTTTGATAATATGTATGGTATATATCTACAAAGAAGGATATTTTAATTATTTTATTTCAATTTGTTTTTATGAACAAATTATTTCAATGCCTTGACATTTGATCAAAAAAAAAAAAATTCAACTTTGAATTTTTGGTGTGAGTGCCCAAAAAAATTTCTAATCTACCACTTTTAAGTTATTTCTTTTATTATTATTATTTTTTCTTTAAAGAGGGTAGTGTGTAAATGGATGATTACAAATTGAGGAGTTTAGATTCTCTTCTTGGTCTCTTTCTTTACCTTCTTACTTACAATGATAAAAATGCACTCAAGATGACTCAACGATTCAAATCTAACTATTTTAATTTATTTTAATTTTTTTTAAGTAATCAAATTTAAATTGAATCATCTGAAGTGCGTCCCCACCCTTGTAACTAAGGAGGCATGGAAAGGATCCGAAGTCAAATTGAGGGGTCATGCTTTTCAAGTTGCACCAACTGCCCGAATGCGTTGTCGCTTTCCCCACAAAGAATTGGCAGTGACATATATGCATACCACGTGTCAATTTTCTATTTTTTAATTCTTTATTAAATCAACAGAACTCGAAAAATTTTCTATTTATAGTACACATCGTCTTCAGAATTTGGTAACCAGTAGTTTTCACAAGCGCAATGTTATAGATTATTAATTTGTCGTCACTAATCCTATCATTAGTGAGGTGGTAATTAGAAAAAAAAAGGTGACAATTAGAAAAAAAAAAAAAAAAAATACAAACACACTGTGACAGTAGGTGAGATTTACTATCACATCATTAGAGCCATCAATAATTAGTGGTCTAAAGCATTTCTCTTTTCACAATTAGAGTGGTGCTATGGACACAACAGAATTGACCGAAGATATGACCGAAGGGACCCACTCACTTAGAATTATTATAATACTGTAAGACAAAACAAATAAATTAATTACCCTCTTTGCAATTTAAGACTTTAATCCTGAGTTATTTATGAAATTTTAACTTAATAACCTTAATGTTCTTCTTTTATATGTCTATTTTATTTCATCTATTACGAATATTTTTCAAGATATTCAACGAGTAGATAGAAAGTATAATTTTTAACCCGTAGTGAATATTACTTTATTTATATTACCCTCGGGCCTTCAAAAAATTAAACAACAATAGACAAAGTACTTATGAAAATGACAAATAAATTTTATTGAATACTCAAAATTACAAGAAAAATATAAAGAAAAACTTTTGCTCACTTATAAAATTCTACTTCTTACTCTAATTTTACAAGATGCAGTCACACCTTTTATAGGCAAAAGAATGGACGATAAGTTTTTTGCAACAAGATAATAAATCTTTTACATATTTGAATTATTAAAACTAGAATACACACTAGAACAAAAAGTGTTTTTAGAGACCAAAATTAATGACGAAAATAAATTTTGTCATAAAAGATGTACATTTTAGTGAAGAAAATAATATTTCGTCTCCAAATGTACCATTTTTAGAGACAAAAATAAAATTTCGTCACCAATCTGCATACATAATAAAAAAATTAGGTGATAAAATTATTTTTCGTCGTTATTTATATTTTTTTTGTCATCGAAGATTTTCCCGTTAATTTTTCAGATAGTGCCAAAATTTTCAGACTTTTGGTGAGGAAAAAAATTAGTCACCAATTATAAAATTATTAATGACGAATATATTTTCGTCACCAATAATTTTTAATAGTTTAATATCATTTAGTGAGAAAACTATTTTCGTGGCTAATAATTTTATCTTTTGGTGAGGAAATAATTTTGTCACCAAATAAATGGTTTAGTTGCTAAAGGTTTTAGAGGGAAATGAATATATTGGCGCCTTAGATATATTGGTTCTTCTTCTCGCACACAGATTTGACCACCAAACTACACCCTACATCACCTCAC